AAAAATTGAAAATTTTTTAAAATTTTGCACGACCCCCTACCTTGTCAAAAAATTGAAAATTTTTAAAATTTTGCACGACCCCCTACCTTGTCAAAAAATTGAAATTTTTTAAAATTTTGCACGACCCCCTACCTTGTCAAAAAATTGAAAATTTTTAAAATTTTGCACGACCCCCTACCTTGTCAAAAAATTGAAATTTTTTAAAATTTTGCACGACCCCCTACCTTGTCAAAAAATTGAAATTTTTTAAAATTTTGCACGACCCCCTACCTTGTCAAAAAATTGAAAATTTTTTAAAATTTTGCACGACCCCCTACTTTGTCAAAAAATTGAAAATTTTTAAAATTTTGCACGACCCCCTACCTTGTCAAAAAATTTAAAATTTTTTAAAATTTTGCACGACCCCCTACCTTGTCAAAAAATTGAAATTTTTTAAAATTTTGCACGACCCCCTACCTTGTCAAAAAATTGAAATTTTTTAAAATTTTGCACGACCCCCTACCTTGTCAAAAAATTGAAAATTTTTAAAATTTTGCACGACCCCCTACCTTGTCAAAAAATTGAAAATTTTTTAAAATTTTGCACGACCCCCTACTTTGTCAAAAAATTGAAAATTTTTAAAATTTTGCACGACCCCCTACCTTGTCAAAAAATTTAAAATTTTTTAAAATTTTGCACGACCCCCTACCTTGTCAAAAAATTGAAAATTTTTTAAAATTTTGCACGACCCCCTACCTTGTCAAAAAATTGAAAATTTTTAAAATTTTGCACGACCCCCTACCTTGTCAAAAAATTAAAATTTTTTAAAATTTTGCACGACCCCCTACCTTGTCAAAAAATTGAAAATTTTTTAAAATTTTGCACGACCCCCTACCTTGTCAAAAAATTGAAAATTTTTAAAATTTTGCACGACCCCCTACCTTGTCAAAAAATTGAAAATTTTTTAAAATTTTGCACGACCCCCTACCTTGTCAAAAAATTGAAAATTTTTAAAATTTTGCACGACCCCCTACCTTGTCAAAAAATTGAAAATTTTTTAAAATTTTGCACGACCCCCTACCTTGGCCAAAATTTGAAAATTTTTTAAAATTTTGCACGACCCCCTACCTTGTCAAAAAATTGAAAATTTTTAAAATTTTGCACGACCCCCTACCTTGTCAAAAAATTGAAATTTTTTAAAATTTTGCACGACCCCCTACCTTGTCAAAAAATTGAAAATTTTTTAAAATTTTGCACGACCCCCTACCTTGTCAAAAAATTGAAATTTTTTAAAATTTTGCACGACCCCCTACCTTGTCAAAAAATTGAAATTTTTTAAAATTTTGCACGACCCCCTACCTTGTCAAAAAATTGAAATTTTTTAAAATTTTACACGACCGCCTACCTTGTCAAAAAATTGAAAATTTTTTAAAATTTTGCACGACCCCCTACCTTGCCAAAAAATTGAAAATTTTTAAAATTTTGCACGACCCCCTACCTTGTCAAAAAATTGAAAATTTTTTAAAATTTTGCACGACCCCCTACCTTGTCAAAAAATTGAAATTTTTTAAAATTTTGCACGACCCCCTACCTTGTCAAAAAATTGAAATTTTTTAAAATTTTGCACGACCCCCTACCTTGTCAAAAAATTGAAATTTTTTAAAATTTTGCACGACCCCCTACCTTGTCAAAAAAATTGAAAATTTTTAAAATTTTGCACGACCCCCTACCTTGTCAAAAAATTGAAATTTTTTAAAATTTTGCACGACCCCCTACCTTGTCAAAAAAATTGAAAATTTTTAAAATTTTGCACGACCCCTACCTTGTCAAAAAATTGAAATTTTTTAAAATTTTGCACGACCCCCTACCTTGTCAAAAAATTGAAAATTTTTAAAATTTTGCACGACCCCCTACCTTGTCAAAAAATTGAAATTTTTTAAAATTTTGCACGACCCCCTACCTTGTCAAAAAAATTGAAAATTTTTAAAATTTTGCACGACCCCTACCTTGTCAAAAAATTGAAATTTTTTAAAATTTTGCACGACCCCCTACCTTGTCAAAAAATTGAAAATTTTTAAAATTTTGCACGACCCCCTACCTTGTCAAAAAATTGAAAATTTTTTAAAATTTTGCACGACCCCCTACCTTGCCAAAAAATTGAAAATTTTTAAAATTTTGCACGACCCCCTACCTTGTCAAAAAATTGAAAATTTTTTAAAATTTTGCACGACCCCCTACCTTGTCAAAAAATTGAAAATTTTTAAAATTTTACACGACCCCCTACCTTGTCAAAAAATTGAAAATTTTTTAAAATTTTGCACGACCCCCTACCTTGCCAAAAAATTGAAAATTTTTAAAATTTTGCACGACCCCCTACCTTGTCAAAAAATTGAAAATTTTTTAAAATTTTGCACGACCCCCTACCTTGTCAAAAAATTGAAATTTTTTAAAATTTTGCACGACCCCCTACCTTGTCAAAAAATTGAAAATTTTTAAAATTTTACACGACCCCCTACCTTGTCAAAAAATTGAAAATTTTTTAAAATTTTGCACGACCCCCTACCTTGCCAAAAAATTGAAAATTTTTAAAATTTTGCACGACCCCCTACCTTGTCAAAAAATTGAAAATTTTTTAAAATTTTGCACGACCCCCTACCTTGTCAAAAAATTGAAAATTTTTTAAAATTTTGCACGACCCCCTACCTTGTCAAAAAATTGAAAATTTTTAAAATTTTGCACGACCCCCTACCTTGTCAAAAAATTGAAAATTTTTAAAATTTTGCACGACCCCCTACCTTGTCAAAAAATTGAAAATTTTTTAAAATTTTGCACGAGCCCCTACCTTGTCAAAAAATTGAAAATTTTTTAAAATTTTGCACGAGCCCCTACCTTGTGAAAAAATTGAAAATTTTTTAAAATTTTGCACGACCCTCTAAAAAAAGGTTTTTCTTTTCTCAGTAACAATATTAAGGGATAATTTCTGTTGTATAGGATCAAGAAAAATGTCATACGTATATAATTTTACAAATATACAAAATTATTATATAAGAGAATGTAGCATATTATATAATAAAATATAAGTTCTTATATGAAATACATCAGAAATTGTGCAAGGTATTAAGCCATCATTTATTTATTTGTTAATTAATTTCTTAAAAATAGTGATTAAAATTATGATTTTATGGATTAAGTATAAACATAATTAAAATCAAAAGTATGACATATGTACGTATAGGTTGATCAATAATGAAAATTTTCATTTACTTTTGATTTAATTTTTTAAATTATAAAATTAAAATGAAAACAAAATTCTTTTTGTTGGTTAGTTGATTTTTGTTTCACTCAAAAAATATTTTGTAAAAATTATCGCGGAAATTTTAGTCATCAAAACGGACATACTATGTACATATACATATATACATATAAATATAGAATTTTATAGATATGTATGTACAAATGTTTGCTACTGAAATTGGAGGACAAAGAGAAAAATTATATTCTATAAACATTAAGTTGGAAAAATTAAGGCACAAAAAAAAAGAAAAACCAAGAAAAAATTTTGTTTTTTTGTCAGCGTTCATGAAAAATATGAAATTTTGTCATTATGATACGAATTATATTGGAAAATTTTATTTTCTTTTGATGTTGGATCAAATTGAAACTTCAGTGAAAGGAATATTAAATTTTTGTTTTTTTTTTAGTTGCTGCTATTATTTGACAGGTTTTGTGGGCCAATATTTTTGTGTTTTTATTTTATTTTTAAATTTTTTTAAATTTATTTTTGAACTAAATTGGAAATTTACGTAAGATTTTTTTTTTTTTGACATTTTATGATTTAATTTGTAGTTGATGAATAAATTTATAATATTATGCTTATAATATTATTTATCTACATATTATGTATGTGTGTTCAATGTATGCATTATGTATGTGTTTATGTGTGAATTACTCTAATTTAAATAAAAAATAATTTTAAAATTTCGGTCCATTCAATATTTTGTGTATTTAAAAAAAATCTGAGTGGAGGAAGTTACTTAATATTATAAAATGTATATATATTTAAAAATTAAACTATTTATTACTGTCGTATTTATTAGCTGGAAAATTTCGAACAATTAAAAAAATTCGTATACTGATTCGTATACTGTCATAATATTCCGAACATGTACTACTGCATTTCATAATTTATATTTGTTCTACCGTATATCGTCGGTTAAAAGGCAGAAAGCACTAAGTGCATTTTTTGAGAATTCGGATTTCATATAGATGAATTAAATCAGAATAATATAATCTTTGTTGTGGCAAAAAATCATGCAAATCCAGATTATAGTTTATAAATCCCGAAATTAAAGAGACCAATTCCATTGCACTAATTGATTAGTTTGACAATTTTACGATCGATCTTTTCAAATTGAATTTACTCAAAACATAGTTTCCTGACTTAATGCTTTCTGCTTCTTAATCGACGATATTATATTTTTGCAATAAATGTTATAAAGTAATGAATAAGAACGCTTTATTAAATATCTAATGTCTAAATGTAAGGCTCCTGTGTATTGAGTACTCATCTGAAAAGAGTTTAGGCTAATTAATAATTCTTATAAATAATATAGAAATTATATTCAATAATATAAATCTTAATATACATTACATACATATATATAAAATACAAAATTAATATTAAATAATTAAGTACCATATTCCCATAATATCTAACTTTAAGTACCAGCAAATTAAAACAATAAATATTAATAACCATTAATATTTAATATACGAGTACTTATAAAAAAAACTAAGATAGCCTAGTCACCCAACTATAATTGAAAATCAAATGACGCAAGAAACTGGGTTACGGTTATCTGCGACATCATGCAGCAGTCCTATATATTCCTCGCAGGGGTGAATCAGAACAAAAATATAAAATTAAATTAACAGTTAATTATATTAAATAATATAGAAAAAATACAATAATAATTTCAAAAGTAATTAAAATATTTTTTTTTTTTTGTCTTTTAATATAGGATTTTGCTGAAACAGCAATGAATGAAGTTTTAGGCTGGTATGGTTATGATAATGTTGATCGTTTAGATTTATCAACAAAAGCTTCAAGACTGATGATAGCATCATTACAAAATAGTAATAATAATCGTAATGAATTATTAAATGGTAGTAAGAATAATAGTATACGAGAAGATAGTACAACACCAGATCATGATAGCTCTAGAGAAGATGATTCAAAAAGTCCTTGTTCAACAAAAACTAATGAAAAAATTGGTAAGATTATTAAAATATAAAAAATATTAAAAATTTATTTATGTAATAACATAAAAGTGAAAATTACTTTTAACATATATATGTAGATTCAATTTCAAATAGTTAAGTAAAAGTTTCAAAGAATAACTTTAAATTCTTATGTCTACAATATAAATATATATATATATATATATACTTGTATAAAGTAATATATGGCTATTAACAACTTAAATGAAAATAAATAATGTTTGTTTATAAATTAAACAATAGCCAATAATTATTATATATATATATGTATGTACATATATTGATGTTCTCTTCCTGTATAATATTATTCATAACATATAATATGTAAAGGAACCTTACAAAATTTCTAATATTTCATAAAACTTCTAATATACTTTTTGATTTGTTTTACAAACTATAAATATAAAAAAAATAAAATTAAATTTTATAGATTTGTACTTATTCATATTATATTTATGTACATATGTATGTGCATATATATAAAAATTTTTGTAGACTAAAATTTGTTAGAAAACTATTTAGTATGAAATATTTATGATGTGTATTATGTAAGTATAGTATACGTGGATTATCAATTTTATTAATTTTGGTAATACTTGAGATAAAATTTCAAGATTGCCAGAATTAACGAAATTAATTAACGAAAGTGTTTTTTTTTTATAAATGTTAATGGAAATTTACCATAACCTTTTTTTAGTTTAGATTTTCTAAGCATTTTTGTAATTGAATGAGAAGAGTTAGAATAAAATCCTATAAAAGTTAGGATATACATACATTCGATTAAACTAAAATATTGCTTAATTTGATTTAAATTTTGGCTACTTTCAATTACACTACTTTGAAATACTCGAATTGCCGGCACATTAATTATACAAACTACAATAAATTTGAACAATTCATTTTCGTCTGCTTAATTTAAACTTTCAATTAGACTATTAATTGTAAACGATTTTTATTATATTTATTTAAATACTTATAATCATTTTTTGTAGTATATGCTAATTTATCAAACTGCATTTATTGGACTTTAAACAAAATTGTTACCCCATATACTATGGGTCATTTAGTAGTTCTCAGTAATACAAAAATAGATTATTTCCCTAAACATATTCTGTAAAATAATAAGAAATTTCTACGAAAAATTCACAACTTACAATACATTATATTTACAAAGGATTCATTTAAAAGGATCAAATAAAATTGATTAAGTTTGAGAATACTTTTTTTTTTTGGCTTTCAGGTTTGTTTTTTTACAATTTTTAATAAATTTTCAATTTTTCTTATTGTTATTAAAAAATTAATAACATTCAAACAAATGTATACAGTTCTCCCCGGTTAATTGAACCGAGAAAAGTTGCACACTTTTTGTATCAATTAAGCGAGTAAATCAATTAAAAAAATCCCGTTTAATTGAACAATTGGTGCAATAAAACGAATTTTTTTAACTGAATCGTTTACGCATGAAAACGAATACTCGCTATTGAAGATCAGGCGCAAAAACGAATTTGATCCTGCTACTGCATAAAATTAATAAAAACAATAGGAAGCATATCCTATTACATATACTTATCAAAATATCCTAGGTAAAAAGCTATATTTAAAATAGGGGATACACTAATGAAATACTAAAACTCAAATTTTTTTTTATTTCAAAATTTAAAAACTTAAATTTTTCTTTATTTTAAATCCATCTAAGTAATGTAACTATGAATTCAAATTCAAAATATTTAAATCATAATATTTTTATATCACATAACATAACAAAAATTAAAAATAAATATTTCATATTACAAAGAAAACAAAATATTTCATACGTTATATCTAATTTTTCAATAAATTTACTATTGCTAGTTTAACAACAACAAATAGAATAATAAAAAATTAAACCTATTTAAAAAAATTTGTAATTTTCGTTTGGTTATGTTTGTAATGATTCTTAATAATAAAGGTTTCCATTTCATCTAAGTTTTCAATAAATTTATTTTGTGGGATAAAAAATTTCCGTACAATGTTTATGCCGTTATCAGGTCAATAAACAGGGGAATTTTTCACAGTTTTTATAAGGTAATACCAAAAAAAGAGATTCATTTAAGCGAGTTGTTCAATTAAACGGGACTCAATTAAACGATGTTATTCATGTATATTTTAATAGGGATTTAAAGTTGCCTTAGTTTTTCGTTCAATAAAAGGGGAAAATCAATTAAGCGTGGTGCATTTAACCGGGGAGAACTGTATATATATATATATATATTTATCTAACTTTTACGCTATGTTAATTTTAATATAACTGTGTATTAGAAATAACCAAACATAATATGTAGGCATATATTATCTAAATACATAATATTAAATTAAAATTATAAATCTTATGTACATATATAAAATTTATAACAGTTCTCCATTTATTTATATGTTTATTTTAGAAATCACATGTGGATGGTGCCATCGTATAGTACCAGATAGTTCACCTGAATTTCTACGAGCTCCAGATGGCCCACGTTATTGTTCAGAAGCCTGTTTTGCTCAATCACGTCGAGCATCATTTAAAAGAGCAAAACAATGTGATTGGTGTCGTCATATTCGACATGCTGTCAGCTATGTTGATTTTCAAGATGGTGCATCACAATTGCAATTTTGTTCCGATAAATGTTTAAATCAATATAAAATGCAAATATTTTGTAAGGAAACTCAGGCTCATTTAGATATGAACCCTCATTTAAAAGAAAAGGGTTGTGATTCAACAAATAGTGCTAATTTAATTACACCAGATTTATGGTTGAAAAATTGTCGAAGTCGTTCAGCATCTCCACAAACGGATGGTGTAGGTATCGGTTGTGGATCTGGTTCTAGATCACCAACACCATCTATAAATAGTGCAATATCAATAACACCAATAACAAATGTAAGTTGTGGAACATCAAATAATTCAAAACTAGAACAGCATAGATTGGGAAGTGTCCCATCGCAGCAACAACAAAATCATAAGCCAATAATATCTGTAGCACCGGTTTCAAAATTAATGTCAAAGCAACATAATGTTCCAAGTGCTAATTCAATAATAGTAACTAATCGGCAATCTCCAAAGCATGCTAGCAGGAAAAAACGTAATATTAGACTTCAAAATCAGAGTAATGTTAATAATAACAACAATAGCATCACTAGTAATAATAATAATAATATTAGCAACAACAATAGTAATAACATTAATAATAGTAATAATAAAAATGGAAATAGCAATAACAAAAATAACAATAATAGTCATAGTTTATTAAGTCCAAATAACGGTTCAAATCTGAACAAATCAAAGATATTATTAAATAGCTTAAGTCAATCAGATCGAATTTCGAAACCGCAAATAGCATCATTTCCAAATGTTCAAGATTTACGTTTGAATGTTCCCCCAATATCACCTATAGATCGGTCACAATCAGCTCAAAGTCATCATTCATCTCAGTCACAACATCAACAACCACAGGTTCCCCAAATACGTGCTAACTTTCCTCCCCACGGATATTTTGCGTCAACTGGGACAAATAATTTTCCGCAGCTTCCTCCTAGATTACCATTTCCTCCACCCGGCACACATCTTGCTCCTCCACCACCACCGCACTTAAGGGCTGGAATGCATCCTTTACCTCATCCATCGTTACAAAATTTAATACAATCATCACCGGAGCTCACTATAAATCCTTTATCAGCTCTTGTTGGTACTGTTCCTCCAGTAACGGTCATGGTGCCGTACCCAATAATTATTCCATTACCAATACCAATCCCTATTCCTCTTCCTATTACAGATTTTATTAAAGCAGCTGCATTGAATTCTAAAGATATTAAACCATCATATTCTCAAAGTAAAACATCGTCTGCTAGATCACAGATAGATCCTAATGTATCTACTATAATAGATACTGATTTAGATGAAGATGAAGATAGGAATTCAAAAAATTTGGATCCATTAGAAATTTCAATAGAAAAATCATACAACGATCATGATTCAAATCGAATTTCTGACTCGGAAACACAATCAGATACAGTATTCTCAAATATAAATACGAAAAATTCAGATGAAAGTTTAATAAGAGATATGGATGAACCATTAGATTTTACCAAAGCTAAAATTGTAAAAACAACTGACTTATCTAAAACGAGATTACAAACTTCAAATAATACACAAAATTTAGATGATATTAATGATAACGATAAAACTGAAACTGTTATACAGCAAATCATCCCGGATGATGAAGATTTATCGACAGAAGATAATGCAAAACAGAAAGTTCCAAAATTTAAAATAACACGTTTACATACTAGACGGAATAATACTAACAACGCTAATAATAGTAATAGTAATAATAACAATAATAATAACGATAATAACAACAATAACAACAACAACAATAGTAACAATAATAATAACCATGATAGTAATGTGTCAGGGTCATCGGACTCAATAAATCAAATTAATATGGCCAATTTATCACAAGCTAAAGAAGAATGTAGCCGTCCATTAAGGAAAAGAAAACGTGTCATTGATTGTGATTATAATGTTCGAAATCCAAAGGATGACGATAACAATGTTAATAGTTCTAGTCCTAAATTGAAAAAATAAAAACAACGGAAAAATTAAAAAAATTAAAATTACAAATAAAAATATTATAGATTATTTCAAAATTTGAAAAAGCAATTAACTTACATTTTTTTTTTTGAATTTTAGTACAAGTTTTCACAATAAAATTTTTGCGACGAATATTCTTAAAAATTTGACATGAAAATTGAACTAGTTTTTGTAATTTTTGTAGATATTTAAAACTTATTTTTAGATTTTATGTAATTAATTTATTTTAAATATTTTTATTTAAAATTGGAAATAAATATATGTACTTAATAAACAAATCATATTATGTAGTCATTTAATATATTTGGCTGTGCACATCATACTTATGTGTGAATATGCAAAATCTTGGATGTTTTTCCAGTTTAAACATATTTTTTTTATAAATCGAAAGCAAAAATTAGATTTAAATATTAGAGTTAGGTAAGATGCATAAATGAAGAAAATCTTCACTAAGTGTAAAACCGGTTGCTTTGTAGCCTTTTATAGTGTTTGATTAGATTTTTCGAAGTATTTACGAATCAACGGCAGACATGCTTACATTTGATTTCTAGGTACAGTCTATTTTATTTTTTATTGAGTTTCTCTAAGTGTAAAACGATTGTCTACAACCAGGCACAGGTTTAACGATTAATTAAAAAAAAAAACAATTTGAAATTTTATTTTTCTTATTTTCTGCCTTTTATTCTCATATTAATTTAATTTAACAGCGTACATTGCAGCTATTAAAAAAACTTATTGAGCTTTATCTATCTTTGATTTCTTGTTGAAAAAAATTTCAGATTTAACATAACTAAGAATTTCATAAAAAATGTTTACAAAATTATACAAGTACAAATTAAAGCTAAAAGTAGGACTAAAAACAAAATTTTATAAAACAAAGATGAAGTCACGTTTATAACTTTAAAGATATAAAGCTATACATACATATAATTATATTATTTTTTGTACTACAAGTACAAAAACTATGGTAAGCAATCATGAAAAATTTTGGTATTTGGTAGTCTCAAAATTTAACAATAATTATTATTATGCACATAAATGATAAATAATGAAATTTACTTAAATAGAAAAAGGTTTCTAAGTTCCAATAACTTTTACGAAAATTTCTACTTGTTAATTTGCAAAGTTCATTTTTTTAATTATATTAAAATTTAAACAATATTGTTATTTAAACAAACTTCACTAATTTAATATTATTTATATTAATATTATGTAAAAATTTTACTAACTTAAAAAAATTATTTCTGAATCATTTTGAAAATGATACTAATATAAAAATTATCTTGTAGTAGTAAAAAAGTAAGAGTTTATTTTGCAAAGTTTGCAACGTCATGCAAAACATATTCAATTTTATTGAAAGTCTATGTCCTCTTTATTCTCTTTTGTTATAAAAATATGTTATCATCTTAAGTGTTATTCTTTAGTTATATAAGTCCCACAAAGTTATTTGTCCATCAAAACCTCCAGCTGCCATTATATTTGCATTCCAGGTTGATACTTTACCTGATGAGAAACAAATATCCATAACACCTCCACTTTTATGTTCTGTTAAAACAGCTAAAGGTCTTAAACTCTTCCATGAAAATATTCTAATACGTCCATCCCAACCACCAGATACAAAAACTTTTTGATCAGGTCGTATTTTTATACAATTTATACCTGGATTCTTTATACTTAATTCATTTACTGATTTTATATCAAAACTTTGGCGTGGTGTAAATGAAATAACTTCTAATCTATCGTTTGCAGAACCACATATACCACGATTTGATTGTACATCAAAATCAATGGCCATTGGAAATTCATTTACTTTAGAACTGCTTACTATTTTATTAGAACGAATATCCCAAGTTATTATATCACCAGATTCATAACCAGCTATAATGTAATCTTGTCCAAGCCTATTAATTGCTTTTAAACAAGTTATATGACCTAATTTTAGGGTTTCTGACGGTTGCAAATCAGGTATTTCTTGCATATTTTCATCATTTAAATACGCAAAACCTATAGAATTTTCACTTTTGGGATATATAAGAATATCTTTGTTTTGAATATAGTCACATTTACAAAATGCTATATGTGTTGTTTCATAATTTTTTTTCAATTCGTAACCTGTATTAGTCAATGTCCAGCACTTTATATTTCCGCCTTTTTCTTGCGTAAACAAACTATCTTCAGCATGATATAGGTAAGTTATTGGATTTGTACCAGCTTCAAAGTTTAAAAATGGACGATTCGTCTACAATGATTAAATTATAAAACATAAAAAAAAGAGTTAAAGGCAATTGTAATAAGTGTGACAAACTTGTAAATCCCATAAGTGAATTGATCCTTTTACGGTTCCAGCTAAAATTCTTTCATTATGATGAAAGCAGACACTATTTACTGAGCCCATTTCTGCACACCTTAATGTAAATACAGGATCTAAAATTTAAATTTTCATTAAATAAATTCCATACCTTATATAGAAATACATTTTATTTTCTTCAATGTATGAATGCAGGAATGCAAAAGTAATGATTTTTTTTTACCTGGAGGAAGCACAGCCATTTTTTTTTTTTCAATTCAACGTACTCAGAGATTTTATTTAAATTAACACCTTTTCATACTTTTATAAATTTCAAAATTCACAAAAAAAAATGTTTTATTTCGTTTTCACTTTCCAACTTTATTAGAATAAATTTCGGAATTAGACAATCAAAACATTAACAGCTGCTTGGGTGAAGTTCAGTGATACCAATATATGGTATGTCAAACAAATGTCATTACAAATGCAACTGGCCAATAATTCATTGAATCGTTGTTGGTTGTGTTGTGCTAGTTTAAGGAAAAAAGTTATTTGAAAATTATTATTCGTGGATATTTAAATATTATGTGTTTTTATAGATTTTATATAATAGACATAATTAATTACATGTAATGTTAATATTTTTAATTATGATTATTAAAAGTAATAATATTCATTATTACTTTTAATGATTTTATATCATATTAATGTTGTCGTTAAAAAAAATAAAAACTTGAATCTATATTATGTTTGTATGCATACTACCCGGTAACATTAATCAGTTTATCAGTCAACAAATTTTGATTGAATTTAAATTGTAAATTTGTGGCAATATTGGCAACTACTACAATGTAATTTTTGATCCACGGCTCAATAACGTCACTATTTGTTTTTGTTTATGTTTATAAGATATTTACACATTATGTTAAAGTTTTTCGATTCAAATTGACAAATTGGTTTTATATTGCTATTGTAAATATGTAGCTGCATTTATGATTCATACTAAATATTGAATAAGAATCGGAATTACCCAAACAGGTTTAACTAATTTCTTAAAAATTAAATTAGTTCTAAAAAGTTTTTTGTTGTGACCGTACGTGTATTTAAAATAAAAAAAGTATTAGTTATTGAAATGTCGCACAGTTATAACGAATTACCGCTAGAGGTATTTATTTTATTCAAGAAAATTAATATTTTAAGTTTTAAGCGGCGTGGTCATATATTAGATTTATAGTAATAACCAGATTTTATTAAATTTGTACACTAATAACATTATTATAGAAATGACGTGTATGTTATTTATAAGCTGTAATTTTTACGTTATTTAAATGCAATCCAATAAGAAACTTTCAAATGTAAATAGGGCTACCAGGGGGTTATAGGTACCTCTACCTAAATAATAAAAAATGAAAATTATTTTTCACTACGAATATTCGAAATTTTAATTTCCATTTAAAATAATTTTTAAATAGATGATTTTTTTAATTCACTAAGTAATTTACATTAAAATGAAATATTATTCAATTTAAATTAAAATGAAAAGAAAAGTAAAAGTAATCTAAAATAAACACACTTCGAATGTACAAATTCGTATACTCGGTAGTATTCTAGTACTCTGGGAGGTATTCTGGTAACCTTAAATGTGAATAATATTTAAAATTTATTTACGTTGTATCTACTATGATTTAAATATGAATTTACAATATTGGATATTGTAAATTGGATTTAAAGTTAGTTTAAACGAAAATACATAAGTTTTTCTACCACAAGAATTTACCGCAAAACGAAAAAAAAAACAAAAATGGTTCACCAAGTTGAAAAAATGACTTAATTTAATTTTGAAGAAATACGTTTAATGTAAGATAAATGTAATGTTGCAAAAACATACAGAGTTTACGTATTATGCAATATATAGGGTGGTTCCCATAAGATGGCAAATAATTTTATCAATTTCCAGCAAGAAATTTTAGGTCGTGGGGGGGGGGGGGGGTTTGTTATATTTGCATTTTTAACTATTATATAAAGTCAAAAGAGTTTATATGATTTAATTGCGCTATTCGCTACTACCTACAAGTATCGCAATACATATGTATTTCGAAAATGCAGTACATAATTTTCATAAAAAAATTAGTGTAGCAACATTTTTTTATAAACTTCAATAAAACGCAGTTTTCACTGTACATCGCAATATGCAGATTAGTGGTAAATTCTTAAACGTCAAATTTTACAAAATCTGAGTTGTCTGAGTTTACGGATACTCTACTACGTTTTTCCTCTCAGTCAAAGTTTAAATTCTTAAACGTTTAAAAAAAGTCAATTAAGCGTCAAAATTGTAGATTTTTTTTTTTACATGCAGACAGTCTGACGTAATTCAGTAAATAAATTTCATGTGTTGAGCGACTATCATTACGTTAAAAATAATATAAAAAATATTTTTATTGTTAATTTTTAATATGTAAGTATAAAATTATTTTAAATCTAAAAAAAAAATTTTTTTTGTTTTGACGTTTACGGATGATCAAAATTCAAAGTCAATTACGGGTAAAAAGTTTACTAGATTTCTGTCCGTAAAAGTTTTAGTTTCAGACAGTTTGCAGACTAAAATCAAAATTTTGACGTTAAAGAATTTGCGGTAGTTTATCAAAATATTCCTGAATTAAATATGTATGTATGTATGTATGCAGTTAATATCTTCGGTTATAATATTTATCTTTTTTTTAAATAAAATAATTTCATTAATATTGCAATTTCCATTGATGTAACTAAATGAAAAATTTTCATATAGTAGGTAATTATTAAACCTAATCTAAAAATATATTGAACTGAACTATGTGTGCGTGTATATAATATGTGTTCATGTATGTATGTATTCTACATTTTTTTGCCATTATTTTGCTAACGTGTTAGATATATGATTTTTCAAATTTAATAATATACAGCATAAAACTAAAGAAATACTTTCAGGTAATCGCTAACGTATTTAAATACTTAAATTTTGATGAAATAAAAACAGCACAGTTAACATGTCATCAATGGCTAAAAGCATCTCAATTTAAAGAATTCAACCAACGAGTAGTATTAAATATGAAACTCAATAAGGATAATATCGAGATATGCAAGAAAACTTTTAGGAAATTTTCAAATATACGTTTAGCAATTTATATGAGATCAACTGAAGAATTAGATATATGTGAGAATAATTTAATTGAATTTTTTTCAATACCCAACATGATTGAAGATTTAAAATGTTTGAACATAGAATCTTTTTTTAATTCAATACCATATGAGACGTTAATTAAAATTTTTAAAATTTTACCAAATATTGTTGAACTTAAATGTGGTGGACCAAATTTCTTAAAATGTAATATTACAGAAGAAGAACATATTAAATTCGAAGAATTTTCCAATTTGATACCAACTATATTTAAAAATTTACAACTTCTACATATTCACAGTGCATATATACATCTTTTTTCGAAAATCAAACATTTAAAAACATTATTTATTTTTTTGTATGATTTTGGCGACGATATAAATTCTCAATTATATGAAATTATAAAGAATAATGAAACCACTTTGAAAAGTTTGGGTTTTTATCCGTTTGCTATTGGTAGACAAGATTGGCGTGAATTAATGTTGGATTTTAGAAGTGAACTTCTTACAAATTTAAAATTACAGGAATTTCAAATATGTAGCTATGTGGACTGGCCAAAAATGAAAGATTTTATTGAAAAGCAAAATTTAATATCAAATTTGAGCATGTGTAATAGTCGATATAACCTAACAGAAAATGACATTATTTCAATTATAAATAATTTACCACTTCTAGAAGTATTAAATTTGGAGAGAAACGATGCTTTCAATAGTACTGCTATGAAAAAAGTATTAGAATTAAGGCATCTTAAAATTTTGAATATAAATCAAGCATATAATTCTTTTAATTATGATATTACACCAAGAAAAAATTTTAAGCTAGTACAATTACAATGTGATGGAATTAATTTGAACGATGAAAATTTTTGTAAATTATTTGAGAATTTACCAAATCTTGAAGTTTTACACACAAGTACAACTACAGTTAGTAACATCGGTATACAATCTATAATCAAAAATTGTAAAAAGCTCACTGAATTACATTTTGTTGGTAGTGAAAAGGTAAGAAAAAAATTTTACGCAAATATGCGCTACGGTATGTTAACATTTTATATTTAAACTTTCATTGCAGATTACAAAGTACGGTTTGAATGGTATTGATCCAGTTTCAAGTGAAAAAACGGGGAATTGTATAACAGAATTAAAAAATTTAGAAGTATTGAATGTGCGAAACTGTCACATAACTAAAGATCTACCACTTGAGTTGAAATTCCAAAACTTAAAGAAGCTTATTTTAACTGATATTTTTTTGGAAAATTCAATTCTGGACGAAACAATATTTGAATGTATTAGAAAAAACTGTCCAAATGTCAATTATCTATCTGTATTTCTTAAAAATGTTGATACCTCTGAAGAAATTGAAAGTGTAATTGAGCGCATCACAGAAAAATTGGGTTGTAATATTAAAGATTGGATTTATCATCATCTTCAAGATGGCTTTTGGATAAGTATAAGTAATTTTTCTATAAAGAAATTAATTTATTTTGAAGAAGAAAAATATACTTAGTATTTATTTTTATAATGGTACTATAACTAAAAGTTTGTCAGATATTTGAAATAAAAAAATAAATAAAATAATTTTTTTTTGTTTTGAATAAAATAAATATGTATCTAAAAAGTATTTTTTAGAAAATATAGACAGATATATATATATATAGTATATGCCACTAACAGCCAGTTTTCAATGATACGAAGCAATTTAATGTAAACGAGCTAATAATCTAAAAATTAGAAGTTAAAAAAATTTAATTTTGCATATAATCAGTAATTGTCTACTCATTTTCTGAAAATGGAAAATGAAAGAAATTCAAAGTTAGCCATAGAAAATGTTATTGACTTTTGATTTTAGAAATTTTACGAATCTAATACGTGAGTTGGAAATATTTTTATTGAAAAAAACTTATAAACGTGTAACAATTAAATTTTCATTACCTATGATATGTAAAACTATTAGAATACCCCATTTTACTGTAGCATTCTCTTGATAAATCGATTAAAATAATTTTATTTTTAAGTAGGCACGTGTATATCATATCTGGTATTTGAATGAATTTTGATAAGGGTTATCAATTTCAGATATTCAGTTGTATTTTAATATTTCTAAACATTTATATTTTGAAATTGGAAGAATACGTACAACATTTCAAAATGGTTCATTCTTTTAATGAATTACCTCTAGAGGTATTTATTTATTTGATTTAATTTTGAATTTTTCTGCAAATTATATGTAAACTTCGTAATATGTAAAAAAATATTCATTTTAAAATACTATACCTGGTTATATTTTTAGGTAATAGCTAATATTTATAAATATTTAGAGGTGAAGGAAATAAAAGCGGCACAATTAACATGTCATCAATGGTTACGAGCATCTGAATTTCAAGAATTCGAGCAAAGAATAGTATTTAAAAATTTTATTTGGAATGGCAATTTGGAATTATTTAAAAAAAGTTTTAGAAGAATTTCAAATATATTTTTAAAATTGGATAGACAAAATAATGAACACTCAAAAATTGATGAAGATAGCCTAATTGAATTTTTTTCAATACCAAATATAAATGAAAATTTAAAGTGTTTGACGATAGAATCTTATGCTGGTTCAATATCTTATAATACTTTAATTCAAATATTTCAATTATTACCAAATATTATTGAGTTAACATGTAGTGGATCAATGTTTTTAACATGTAATATACCTAAAGAAACTATTAAAGAATTAATTCCAATTAAATTCAATAATTTGAGTAATTTACATATTCATAATCATTATTTGAAATTATTTTTACATGTTAAAAATTTAAAAACATTAACTATTGATTTATATGATATTGATGATACAATCAATTCATATATATGCCATATTATTAAAAATAATGAAATTACTTTAAAATGTTTATTCATAAATTGTTATTTATTTACTTTATATAGACCCGATAAAGATAAATTGATATTAGATTTTAAAATAAATTTTTTACAAAATTTAAAATTACAAGAATTCTCTATTAATAATAATATAAAATGGCCATTTATGATAAGTTTTTTTCAAAAACAAAATTCTATAAAAAATTTAATTTTAGAAAATTTCCAATACACTTTAAAAGATGATAATATAGTATCAATATTAAATAGCTTACCATTATTAGAAAAATTAAATATACAAAAGAATTATTCTTTAACAAATGTAACAATATTAGAAATATCAAAATTACAAAATCTTAAAAATTTAAATATTAATAATATAAACAGTATCAATAGTTATGGTTTAATATGTGGTTTAGCTAAAACGAAAAATTATAATCTTAGTGAGTTGAAATGTGAAGATATAAGGATGTACGATGAACATTGTAATCAATTATTTGAGAATTTACCAAATCTTCAAGTATTACATATTAAATCAGTTGCAATAAGTGATATTGCTATTCAAGCTATATTAAAAAATTGTAAAAAATTAATTAATTTGTCTATTAATGGTAATAATAAGGTATAAAATTTGATAGTATATTTAGTTGAAAATTGTTAATTTTTGTTTTTTTGAATTTGTAATAATATTTTTAGATTACGAACTATGGTTTTACCGGCATTGATTCGATTACTCAAGAGAAAACAGGAAATTGTATATCGGAATTGAAAAACTTGAAAATTTTATGTATACGTGATTGCCATATTACACATGAACTGCAATATGAATTGAAATTTAATTATTTAAAAACTCTTTATCTTAATATGTGCTTTAAAAATTCAATTTTATGTGAAGCAACACTAGAAACTTTACAGAAAAATTGTCCAACAATTAATAATTTGACATTGTACGTTCATAATTACATAATCAATGGAAATCAATATTTTGATAAAATAATTGAACTAATTATCAAAAGTTTAGATAGGGGTGAAATTAAAATAAATTATAAACATAATGTAAGTATGTAATTGTAAATTGTATTTTAATTTCATTACTTAAAAAACTGCATAAACGAAATTGCAGATTTCACATTTCATTGCAGTCACATTATTTTGTAGTCAATTTAAATTACAACCGTAAATATGTAGCTTTGAAGTACAAGCATTGTCATAATACATATTTATTATTATATATGTATGCATTAAAAAATAATTTTAAATGCATGTCCTACTTGATGGTTGTATTTTTATTGATTAATGTTTAAAGATGTTATTTAAATTTGCAATTTAATATATGCGCATATTTTTTTTATGGATATTATTCATATTGCATTTTTAGGAAGTGGATGAGATATGTTACTTCAGTTTTACCTACACTAAATACGTACGCTCATGTTATTTGAGCTGCAAATGCAATACCTGCAGTGAAATTGAAAAATTATGTAAAAATGTTTTAAAATAAAAATTTAATAATCTAGTTTAATTTTTTTACTTTTTATTTATTTTAAATTTGTAGAAAATGTCTTTTAAAATTCTTTAAATAATATTATAGAGATGCAAACTGTTGAAGCAGTATTTCTTGATCGATGCAGTCGAAAAACCTTCTGAATAAACCAAAAAGACGTAAGCAATGCACTTCCCACTATCAAAGTATCTCGTTATAAAATCTGTTAAACTCAAAAACGCTGCAGTATTCTTGGAGTTTGGTTCAAAGCCATATTGTTCCCTATGAAAACCATCATTGTTTCTCAAGAAGTACGTAAGACGGTTCTTCACAATGACTTCAAATACTTACGATATCGCAGGTAAGACCGAAATCGGTCTATAGTTGGAACAAGTATTTCTTGTACCACCCTTGTAAACTGAGGTAACAATTGCTTTCTTCAGTGAGGCCGAAAAAGAAGGAATCTAAAAAGACTATCTATAAATAAACAGATTAGAGTCATACATAAACGGCGACGATTTATGTTTTATTGCATTAGTTCTTGTTGTTGATTTGAGTAAAACAGAATGTAAATATATCCACATTTTATGTAAAATTTAAAATAACAAATATTCTTTTTCTACATTTTTATTGGCATCTACACGCATGTAGACAAATGAAAAACTAAAAATGAATAAAATGTTGTTTTTACATACACTTGTAAGTATTCTATAAATATTTTCTTGTAAAAGGAGGAATGTCAGTTAAAGTTATATTGAAAATTGTAACTAAAATGACATTTACGTACGAGTGTACAGTTAATATTTTTCATCAGAGATTAACAACATTTTCAATAAATGGTCAATTCACAAATGCTTATTACTTGTATTTTTAATTCACAATAATGATTTTTTACTTACTCTATTTTTTTGTTTTTAATATTTCCAAATAAACATAAAACATAATCTAAATTTAATTTTTTAAATTTAATTTGAAATTTTAATTTTCAGAAGAATTTTAAAAAAAACATATTATTTTTTCAATTTATTTTAAAGAAAAAATTTGTTTCGAATTGAATTACAATAATTTGAACGATAAACTTATTACCAAATTACCAAAAATTTTGATCTTAAAATTAATAATTATGTTTTATTGTTATTGGACTGAATTCGGCCCGCCGCTAAATTTTTATATCAATTATGAATTCTTTATTTGAATTACAAATAATGTACATAACAGAAAAGAAAAGTAAATTTTCAGTTTTAGTATTGCAATAAAATTTAGAACAATAATATAACAGGTAAACGGAAAATTCTTGTGTTAAATATTAAAAATGGAGTTTAGTCGTTTTAATGAACTTCCTTTAGAGGTATTTATATTAAATGAGAATTATTTAATATGAAATTTTAATAAATATATTTATTAAATAATAAATATTATATAACCTTGTAATTTTTGCACTTAATTCAATTAAATTATAAATTAGTTACACATAATGTAAATTACATTGCGTTTTGTTTTGTCATGGATGAATTATATGAAAAGTGTAAGATTGCTATTATTAATTGTAGAACTATAGTTCAAAATGGGTAATGAATCAATTTGTAATTCGGATTAGCTTTTGAAGAAAAGACAAATTTTCTTCGTATTTGCATAAGTATATTAATTATGTAGCCATGAGTAAATCACATTACTCATTTTTGGATATAATCTTTGGATAAGCATTCTTGAATTATGTTATAAAATAAAAAACTTGTAATTAAACTCAGATTTAGGGTCTATTTTCGTAATTTCTATGTTTTGTGATTCGAATTAATAACAAATTTTCGAAAAATTTTATAAAATTTTACAGCTTCTCTTTATATTAAATTTCCAAAGTACAACTATGATTCGGGAAGCAATATGTAAGTATTGAGTCTGGTAGCAATATGTAAGAACGATTGCGGCGATATGAGTGATATGTTCTATAGTTATTTTAAATTAATTATATACATAAATATGTATATATGCATTTTGTAATATAAATATAAGAAATTTATTGTTATAGTTTTATACTTAACTAATGGATATATTTTTTTTTAGGTCATCGCTAATATTTATAAATATTTAGATGTTAAAGATATTAAAGCAGCACAATTAACATGTCATCAGTGGTTGTATGCATCACAATTACCAGAATTTGATAAAAGAATAGTTTTATCATTTTTTTTTCCTGGTAGACTTATTTTAGAATTATTTCAAAAAAGTTTTAGAATATTTCCAAATGTTTATTTAAGATTTAATAGACAAAATAAGGATAAAATGAAAGAAGATGAAAATGATTTAATTGAATTTTTTTCAATAACTAATATTAGTGATAATATAAAATATTTAGAATTAGAATCATTTGGTGATTCAATATCACCTCCAACATTATTTATTATATTAAAATATTTACCAAAATTATTAGAATTGAAATGTATTGGAACCGGTTTTATTGATTTTAAAATGAAAGAGAATAATATTAAAGAAAATAATAATAAACAAACTGAAAATTTAATAAAAAATTCAAAATTTATAAATTTTTCTGAATCTGTACCAAATATAATATCATGTAATATAAAATCATTGTATATACGTAATACATATTTAGAATTTTTTTCAAATATTAAAAATTTAACAGCATTAATTATTGATTTATATGATTTAGATGATGAAATTAATTTATTTTTATATAAATTTATTTTAAATAATGAAACAACATTAAAAACTTTATCATTTAGATCAAATTTAAATTCATATTATAATGGTATAAATAATAATTTAATATTAGATTTTCAAATAAATAATATGAAAAATTTAAAATTAAAAAATTTTTATATAAATAATAATATTAATTGGCCAAATATGATGAGTTTTTTTGAAAAACAAAATACAATAATTAGTTTAAGTTTAGAAAATTTTCGTTATGGTTTAAATGATAATGATGTTATAACAATAATAAATAATTTACCATTATTAGAAAATTTAAATTTAGCAAAAAATGGTATTACAAATGCAACAATGATAGAAATATCAAAATTAGAAAATTTAAAAAGTTTAAATATAAATTATGCATATGATATTGATAGTTATGGTTTATTAATTGGTATAGGAAAAAATAAAAATTATAAATTAATTGATTTAAAATGTGAAGGTATTAGATTAAATGAAATTGATTGTATTCAATTATTTGAAAATTTACCAAATCTTGAAATATTTCATTGTCGTTCAAGTGTATTATGTAATATTATAATACAGACAATAATAAAAAATTGTAAGAAACTTATTGATTTGCGTATCAATGGAAATGATAAGGTACAAAAATATATTTAATAATAAAAATTCTATAAAAAAATCTATTCGATTATTTTAATTATTATAATTATATTCTTTTTAATATATTATGTAAATTTTTAAATGTTTTTAATAATTTTATATTTAATTTATATTTTTGAAATTGCAATTATAGTTTTACTAATATAAAATTTAATTTAAAATTAAAATAATCGAAGAGGCTTAAATATTTTATAATATAAAATATAACAAATAACGTTTATATAAAAAAAATTGTTATAATATAATATATTCTCCAAAATATTTTAGATAACTGACTATGGTTTTACTGGAATTGATTTGATAACAAAAGAAAAAGCAGGCTATTGTATATCAGAATTAGAACAACTTCAATTTTTACATATATGGGATTGTCAAATAACATATAAATTATTATATATGATAAAATTAAAACATTTAAAGAGATTATATTTATTTTTAAATTTTCAAAATTCATTTTCATTAGATGAACTTAATATAATTGAAGAAAATTGTCCAAGAATTAATAATATAACATTATTTTTTAAAAATTATTCATTAAATAAAAATATTAATTTAAATAAAATAATTGAAATGATAAAAAAATTAGAAAAAGTACGTTTACATGGTCGCTATAAACATAATTGGAATCATCCAAAACAAGAGGTGATTTTAAAATTATAACACAAAAATTATAACGCACCTATATAGGAATTTTTTTTTGCATTATAAATTGAACATTTTGCTAATATTATTTATTAGTTTTATTGTCCCTTTTTCACTAACGTACATATATCATACAATTTCTTGTAGAGAACTGTAGAGAAATATAATATACCGTTAAAATATAACTTGTAATATTATGTTAGAGCCATCAGTCACCTAATTAAACTCACAAGTTTAATTTAAATATACATAATATGTAATTATTTTGATGCTGTCATTCATTTACTAACAGCTTATTATAGTCCAATTTTTATATGAATTTAATGAATATTTTAATTTCTTTTTTGCAGAAACTATTTTATTTCAGTTTCAACTATACAAAATATGCACGATCTTTTAATATGACATGTAAATGTGAAATTTGTGCAAATATCGATAAGTTATGCAAAACTGCTTTATTTTCTAAATAAAAAATTCGATTACAATTTCATATATAGATTTGTTCTGAAAATATTTATATAAATGAATAAATTAAATAGTTATTATCAAATTATTTTTGAATATCATATTTTTATTCAATTTATTTAAAATATATTAGCACGACCTACATATTATATTAAAGTAATAAAATATAATATATATGTATAGGTAATTGTATAAGGTTTTGGAACAAAATAACATCATTTCTAGTTTTTACAAAAAGGCGATAGATGGCACTAAGGTAACTAACTATACATTTTTGTACTTTGGTAATGCTGTTAAAAATTGACATTTTATAGTAAAATTTTCAGTTGTCATTATTTCTCAAAAAAGTATTATCAAAGGATATCAATTTTATTTCATAATAATGTAAAAACAAGTAAAAACGTTTCAGTCGGTATGAACCGATTGAATTATACCCTGCACCTTTTTTCATTGTTGTATAGCAATTACTCAAACCTGTGAAACCATTCTATAGAAACTTCACGGATATGTCTGACCTATAACTGAACACACAACTACCAAGTTTCATGAATCTGGTTTCAAAATTTCCGAACCTGCCAAGTAATTCCACTAAAATTTCGCTAATATATCTGATCTATAATTGGACACACAACTGCCAAGTTTCATGAATCTAACTTTATTACTTTTCCAAATATTTAAAATAAGGTTTTGGACTTGTATGGGAGCCACTCGAACCTGTCAAGCAATTCCACCAAAACTTCAGACATATCTTTGACGTATAATTGGACACACAACTGCCAAGTTTTATGAATCTGTCTTTATTATTTTTCCAAATATTTAAAATTAACTTTTGGAGTTGTATGGCAGGTACCCGAACCTGCCAAGCAATTCCACTAAAACTTCGCAAATATATCTGATCTTTAATTGGACACACAACTGATAAGCTTCATGAATTTTACTTTATTATTTTTCCAAATATTTAAAATTAGCTTTTGGAGTTGTATGGCAGGTACCCGAACCTGTTAAGCAATTCCACTAAAACTTCGCAAATATATCTGATCTTTAATTGGACACACAACTGCCAAGTTTCATGAATCTAACTTTATTACTTTTCCAAATATTTAAAATAAGGTTTTGGACTTGTATGGGAGCCACTCGAACCTGTCAAGCAATTCCACCAAAACTTCAGACATATCTTTGACGTGTAATTGGACACACAACTGCCAAGTTTTATGAATCTGTCTTTATTATTTTTCCAAATATTTAAAATTAACTTTTGGAGTTGTATGGCAGGTACCCGAACCTGCTAAGCAATTCCACTAAAACTTCGCAAATATATCTGACCTTTAATTGGACACAAAACTGCTAAGTTTCATGAATTTTACTTTTTTTTTTTCCAAATATTTAAAATTAGCTTTTGGAGTTGTATGGCAGGTACCCGAACCTGTTAAGCAATTCCACTAAAACTTCGCAGGTATATCTGATCAATAATTGGACACACAACTGCCAAGTTTCATGAATCTAACTTCTTTATTTTTTCAAATATTTAAAGTAAGCTTTTGGACTTGTATGGGAGCTACTCGAACCTGTCAAGCAATTCCACCAAAACTTCAGAAATATCTTTGACCTATAATTGGACACACAACTGCAAAGTTTCATTAATCTGACTTTATTATTTTTCCAAATATTTAAAATAAGCTTTTGGACTTGTATAGGAGCCACTCGAACCTGTCAAGCAATTCCACAAAAACTTCAGAAATATCTTTGACCTACAATTGGACACACGACTGCCAAGTTTCATGAATCTGACTTTATTATTTTGCCGATTATAAAAAATTTGCTTTTGGAGTTGTATGGCAGCCACCCGAACCGGTGCAGCTATCTCATTAGAATTTTTAGAGCATATGTAGAATATAATTGGACACATTTATACAAAATTTTATAATTGTACCTTGATTAGTTTTTGAAATAATTAAAATAAACTCTTTGAGTTGTATGGCAGCTACCCGAACCCGTTGTCCGAATTGGTCCAATAACAATAGGGTTCGTCCTTGGCACAAAAGAAGCAACTTGTGAAAGTTTGGTGTCGATTGCATTATTCGTTTTTGAGTTATCGTGCGATCGGACGGACGGACGGACGGACGGACGGACGGACGGACATGTCTAAATCGACGCAGAATTTTACGCTGAGCAAGAATATATATATATGTCCATACCGCAGGTGACTCCTTCAAGTAGTTACAAACTCCATACCAAAGTTAATATACCCTTCACGAAGTGCAGGGTATAAAAAAAGATTACACAACTCAATTATGTAATTTATAATGGAAGAATATAATTACAGGAAAATTTCGCAGAAGTATTTTTTGAAATTTCATCCTATGCTATTCCATGCATATTAATATTTTTAAATTAAAGTTGCAGATTTGGTTACTTGAATTCCATTGCTTGATGGTTTCAAAATGATTTAAAGATGAAATTGTATAAAAGTTTTAACATACTCGCATACAGCTCGAATAAATGCATAATATGAAGTTCTAAAATAAGAGAAAAATAAAAATATTTAAACACGTTTCACTTTTTGGTTAACAATTTAAATTTTAATCTCTATTCTGCACAATTCATCAACAATAAGCAGATTCTTACCTTTGAAATTAATTTAGGTACAGTATTTAACAAAAATTCTTTTTTCAAATTGTAAATTTTATAGTTCAGATCTCATGAAATCCTTTAATTTCAGGTACATGTTCTTTAACCGAAATGTGACTGTGATTTGAATGAAAATTGTTAAAGCTGTTTATATTAACGCAATATGCATTTTTAATGTTCCATAAAAATTAAATTAAATTTGCATTTGTTATAAGGTTTATTAGTTCCACAAAGATATTTTTCAGTTGAAATTTTTATCACCATGTTACCATTGTTAATCATCTTTTCTACTCCGTTTGTTACTTGGATATATAAATAAAATTCTTTCCATAATACAATTATAAAAAAACTGACTTTGAATCTGAAATTGGAATAAATATTAGAAATTAAAATAAAAAATTATTAGTGTTCCTATCGCTTCTAAAAAAAAAATTACTTTTTATACAAATTTTAAGATTTGATTTCAGTTTATGTGGACATCTAACCCAATATTATTCCCAAAAGGGACAGGCGATAGTTCTACGCAAAAGTTTTTAATTGATGCAAATTAGAAATAAATTCTTAAGATTCTTATAATGATTTTAAAAGTGGCTCATTCTAGTAAAATCTTATGACTAAATTTAACTTTGATTTTTTCCTCAAGTTAAAATTCAAATATCAATATTGAAAATAATATGCTGATAATTTCCGTGACAATAATAAAATCATTTTTGTCCACCCAATTTTATATACGAAAAGACGAAAGTGATGACAAAAATTGTTATAAAATCCTTTTTCTTCATTTTTTTAGCTGAGCATATTCCAAAGGTCATTTTCTATAGATTTGCATGCACATATTAAGAAAAAAATTTTTTTTAAAGATTATAGCGTTTTGGGATTAATAAAATTATAATATCAGAGCTGAGGTGAAAATAAAATAATAAAAATATTATAAAAAATTAAAATATTTTTTTCTCATAATTTTCACATTGGGATCTTCTGAAAGCAAAAAATTACAGTATAGAGAAGAGCAAATTAAAATATAAAAATTACTCTCCAAGCAACTAAAGACAGATAAAACTAAAGTAAATTTGTATAGATTATATTAAAGCGACATCTATGTTTATAATATTATATATGTATCAGTTACATTCTTGAAAACTAATAAAGTTCGAAAAGAAAATTACCGAATTAAATTAGTGTTATTAGAAATTTTGGCTTTTAAAAAAGAGGGTTAGAACATGCTTAGTAACAAATTGTTGCTTTTGCTGTTGCTATAATCTTGTTATAAGCAAGAAAATATAGTCTCTTTTAGAAATGGCTGCAAGACCACAATGTTGTGACATGAATCAAACAAGACGGATACCTAATACGATATGGAATCTTATTATCTTTACTGCTCTTTTATATATTATAATATCTAGTTTCTTTATATATATTTGAGACGCATTACTCCAGATTGAATTTAAGAGATTTTATGAAATATATGACGAATGTATGGCAAATAATGTGCTTTTGCCAAGGTATTTTCTCAATTTTTTTAATATAAACACAATTTTCTTCATAACATAATCTATGTATGGTCATACTGTTAAAGCATATTATCTAATATTAGTCCCAAATAGTCAAAGCTTTTTCTCTACATCAATTTGACTGATTTCGTAGCCGATAAAAAAGAAGTTTAAGGTTTGGTTTTCAAAAAACAATCGTATTTTCTTTTTAAGATTTAAGGACACTCTGTTTTTAGGCAGCCATTCCTCAATAATGTTCAGGTGAATTTCTCAAGTATATCTCATTAATATTAATTATCATCACAGCATTATCAGCAAAAAGTCAATCTAGCCGTATCGTCAATATAAATGTTAAATAAGTCCAGACCTTGAATTGATCCCCGGAACACATCCTTTCCCATGTACTGCACCGTAATTTAGGAGTCATTACAGTACATCTGTTGCCTTCTATTTATCAATTTATAACAGTAAGCTTTTGCGGATTTCTATAAAAGCAAAAAAAACTAATCGTAAATAAGTTACCAACAAAAAATATATTTTTTAGTTTTAACTCACCGTTTATTCGAAATGTGCTTCGTAATTAAATGCTTCTTTTATTTTGTAATTATTTAAATTAAAGGCTTGAAAGTTTCAGAATTTCTTTTTTATATTTAAATATGATTTTTTTTTTATAAAACCAATTTTTAGCCTTGTAATTTTTTGAATAGAATTCAATCTAGTTGCTTGATAATTCCACCTACAATAGTCTGATGTTTTTTCTATTATATTATTTATATGTATGTTCATATATGCATATGTATATGAATTTCTACAATTTCTTAATAAATAAAATATTTAATATGAAAGAGGAAACTTTTTAATATGTATGTGAATATTATTATAATTTATTTACTGAATAAACATATCATGTGATCATTAAAAAACGAAAAAACCAGAAAAAAACACCAATTTCAGTAAAAATGTATAAAAATTCAATTTCTTTTTTTTTAAAGGTAAATTTTTGGTAAGAAATAGGATACTTTTATTTTTTGATTTGAAAATAATAACTGAAAAAAAAAAATTATGATCGGCACAACAATCATGTTTTGTTTACAGTAATTGTACAAAAATATAAATAAAGCGGCGAGCGGCAACGGCGGATGATACCTTTGTTAACCCATAACAATAGTGGGACGGTGAAATCAACTGTTCAGTATATTGCATATAATGCCACACACAGATGAAAACGGATTATAATAAAGAAAACCGCCAGCAGTAAATAGGGATTTAAACTATTGTACTACCCGCGGTTAAATTTGCGATGGTGATTTCTCTTGATTTTATAAGTAGTTCCATTTTAATATATTCTATATGAATTTTGATATTTGGTCGCGAGAAGCTGCTCTTGTTCTATTTTTAACTTAAACAATGTATATATGACATTTGTCAAATTTACTTATTAATGTATACGCAAGTTTAAAAGAGCATACTACAAAATTTATGTAACACTAAATTTTAGCTACTTTTGCGTATAATAGAAATGAGTATAATCATTCAGTTAATTTTTAACAACTTTCGATTTTCAAATTAAATAAATATGCAAATCCTTGCCTTGTTTCAATACATCTTTGTTCATAAAGATATTTTCAATAACAAAAAAACAAATTTGTAATAAAAGCATACGAGTATATTTTGAAGATACGTTGTACAATATAATAATACAACAGTATTGATAACTTAATAAGTATGAAATAATATGTAAAATTAATTTTATATATTAAAAAAATAAATTTGAGAAATAAGATTATGATATCAATAATAAAAAAAAAATATTCGAATTGTATAAATTTTCATATTTTGTGTTTATTTAATGTTGAATTAAAATTTCTCGCCCTACACGAACAAATTCTTTGTTGAATCGTGTATTAATACAATGTTACTGAAATTCTGAGTTCATGGTTAATATGTTAAATTTTTTTTTGTTTTAATTTAAGTTTAAGTAATATGTCGAGGAATTATTCATATTAAAGATTTTTTATTTTTCTGTAATTAGAATAATATGTATCCTGCTATTTTTATAAAAATATTCCGCCTTCTGATTTAATTATGACTAATTATGTATATTAATAAGTGCCCATAATATGCTATTAACTTTTGTTATTTAAATTTTGTTTCGTTCAGAATCAAAAAGAAAAACTCTCGCCTTTTTTAATTTGCAATTTTAAAACGTATCTCGTAAAAGTTTCAGACGGCTCAATTACACATAATTGAAAATTACTTCGACTATGTATAATATAGTTCCTAAGTTTCGGTAATTTTTTTTGCTCTTAACGACAAATTTGTTTGATAACATTATAAAATTTGTTTAATAACATGATATTTTAATCAAATAGAAATTTTAGTGGAACAAATTTAATAGGATCAGTTTTCTTTTAAATAATTTGTTCTCTTGTGTATCCTAAAATCAATGAATTAAACATGGATTGGGTAGAATTTTCATTGTATATGTATACATATACTTACATTTATTATGAAATTTATCTATGACGTTGGCTTCCAGGTAAAATTTTATTGGAATTGAAAATTTTTTCTTGGATTTTTCTCACAAATAAATTTCGTTTGTTTTGTTTTTTTTTTTATTTATTTTTCAAATGTCCTTTTTCATTTTATTTATGATCCTTCTTCTAAAAAATTTCCTATTATTTATTTTTGTTTCATACTTTTTATTTTCTATTTCCCTATTTTCTACTTTTATTTATTTTAGCAGAACAAAAGATTTTGTAATTGAAAATTTTGTTGAATAATTTATTTTATTTTTATTTTTTTACTTTGATTAAATTAAAAATTTAAGAATAAAATATTTTCAGGAATTGATGACGTCAAAATGCAAAATAAAAAAAATTTTCTAACATTGTTAAGAAGGGTGTTTTATTAAAATGTTAAAGTACGGTTTAAGTAAATAAAAGAAAAAAATTGTACCATGTTTTGACATTTCGTTTTATTAATATTATTGTATTATGTTTATTATTAGGTAAATTAGGTGCCTATATAAATTGAAAAATTTATTAAAAATTCTTATTTATAAAATATATGTACATTATGTACATATATTATTTGAATTAAAAATATTTGTATATATATATCTATGTAATGACAATCTAAATGCTTGCAATTTTTCTAGCGTCACTTTGACGTTCAAAAAGATTACATTGACAATTAAAGTTTTTTAGTTGTCATTATATGATTTTTTAAAATTAAATATTGTGATTGTTTAGATACGACCTTTTAGAAGTTTCCCAAAAAAAATTTGAAAGAAGTGCTTATTAGTTTCACTCTGTCCATCTGTTCGTCGAAATGTTAACAAAACTTTTACACCTTTGAAGATAGAAAGCTAAAATTTTATATGTATGTACGTAGATCTTTACTAAAAACTTATATCCGTAGAAAAAAAAATTTTACTCCCTAAAAAATTTTAGTCCCTTAAAATCTTAAAAATGTCATTTTTTAACTAATTATTGCAGCGAAATCGGAAGTATTTTTCAAAATTTGTAAACGCAGAAAATATAAAGAAATCTTAGTAGACGTACATGTAATTAAGAGAAAATACTTAGGACTAGTGTCAAACAATTTAAAGAAAAATCCAAAACATGCAAAAGTTAAAGTGATTGGTACGGGGAAAAGCACAATTGGAGTATTTTTTGTGAAAAAAAAAATTTACTTAAACAAACGAGTTTGAATTAAATAAACAATTTTGTTTTTTTATGTTTGTATTATGAGATGAACTGTAAACTTAATTTACCGCACTTGTGTGGTAAATTGTGCTGAATATAAGCAAATATTTCTTTATGTTTTTTGAATTTAAAATAAACATATATAAGAAAAAAACACATTGTGTTACAGTGCTCGTTTAAATATAAAAAAGGTCAAAAGACAAAAAAAACAATCTTTAAAAAGTGCCCAAGTATCGTGAAAAATAGTTGAGGTGGAAAAACAAAAAATAAAAGACAAATAATTGCTTATTTTTCTTCTCCTGAAAATATTTCTCATTTTTGCTAAAAAAAAATTCATAATGAAATTTAAAATA